GGTCATCGACTCCGAACCAATCGGAACACTTGGAAGGGTGAGTATACTGACCATTGCGGAGGGCGATTGGATGCACCAAGGTACCGACTGCTGCGAGTGTCCTGGAGAGTTTCGATGCCTTTGCCTAAGACCGAGGTTGCGAAGAGACATCTAAACTCTGTGTATGAAAACACTACCAATTTGGTTCGGTGCAAAAACGCCGCCTGTCAACCCTAGAGCCGATTTGGGTGGTGCTCCGATCGTTGCACGGATGAAAGCGTTTTCGCCCTCTGAATTTGGAACAAGTCTCATACAACTTTTACAGCCACTGCGCCATGTCAGGTGGAGACTGGAATGTGCCGGGTGCCCATTTGGGCACGGCACCCAAGATGAGGACAAAGCCCCTCCGAGTCGATTAAAGGGATCGGAATCAGAGACACCATTTTACTTTTCAATTGTTGTTGGTTTTCCCTCGAAAGGAGAATCTATTCTTAGAGTCAATCACCCGAACAAAAATCGTCCTTGAAGCGAATATCTCCCGAACAAATCCGTTGATGCATCCTTTGATGCTCGTTCTGTCTTCATCCATCTCTTTTTTACAGGTGGCTACCGTGAAACCGACGCTGCGCCCGGATCCCAGTCGGATGGAGCCGCAGCGACGCGTCTCAACGGAGCTGGCCAGGATGTGTCAGCAGGAAGGATGCACTTTCTGGGAATGGTGCTTCCAGGATGGATGTATCATGATGTATCTGGTTTTGTCCATGGGCAAAGGGTGTGTTGTTGTTGTGGTGGTAGTTGCGGTTGCGGTTGCGGCTGTGGTTCTTGTTCTTGTTCTTCTTGTTGTTCTTGTTCTTGTTCTTGTTCTTGTTCTTGTTCTTGTTCTTGTTCTTCTTATTCTTGTTGTTGTTGTTGTTGTTGTTGTTGTTGTTGTTGTTGTTGTTGTTGTTGTTGTTGTTGTTGTTGTTGTTGTTGTTGTTGTTGTTGTTGTTGTTTTTTCTTTTGTTCTGGAGAAGGATGTACGATCACACTTTCACCGCTGAAAAAAGAAAGTCTTTCACCGGAAGGAGGCTTTCGCAATGTTTTGTTGGAAATCCCTCACCTCCGATGATCAGAATGATGTCGTTTAACAGAAAGGTACTTCCTCTTGCAGAATGCCAGGCATTTGGGAGGATGTTGGGCGTCGTCCATGGTGGACTCTCGCGCCAAGGATCAACAAGTTTTACTCCTTGGCGTCGCAGGACTTTGCAGCTGCGTACCACAAAGCCTCGGGCTGAGCAGCCTCGTGTTGGTTTGTTCAGTAGGTGTTGATGGATTTGGTTTGGCTATGTTTGATTGCTTTTGATTTGTGGTGCTATCATGTGTTTTGTGGACTATGGTTCTGGAAGGGAGAACCAACAGCAACCCTATGCCCCTGCCAGATGCAGTGCCAGAGTATCGCTGGACGGGCATTGGTCATTCACACAACAGCTTGTAAAAAATGGTGAAGTATACTTCTTGTGCTTGTCGATTTGCTGTGTAGAAAGAGTTAAGAGATGTCCCATGCCACTTACAAGCAGCAAGGTTGAGGTGCTCAAACGGCAAACCAAGTGAGAGAGCTCCATGAATTTGGCTCAGACCGTGAAGTACCCCATATTCCTACAGTGGCACAACGCGGGTCTGGCATGTTTGAGTCTGAGACAGGTGCAGCTTGCCAAGCTGACAAACAATGAGCGCCATCGCCATGGCACATCGACTTGTTGCTCCGAAATATCGAGATCTTACGCATGAATTTGTAGCAAGTAGAAGTAGAAGTTTCATGAATTTTCGAATTTCAGGTATTGATGTTGAGGCCCTGGGGTAAGTCTCATGTCACAGGAACAGATGCCAACTCCGCCCATTCGATTTACCAACTCGGTGCCCGAAAGTCAAACTCGGGCGACATGGATCGAAGCACCAGATGAACCTGGTGGGCATTCAACCAAGAACAAGGGAGACGAGAACAAACTACTCCAGACGAATCAAGAGAGCTTTCGATGCCTAAAAATGTACTCACCGCACTCCCCTCTCTTCTTTGACGACCATCCTTTCACAAGACAGGACTGGGTAGGAATTCAGACCACCCACAGCCAAACAAATTATATAAGTCTTCTTAGGATTCAAAAATACCGAATTCGACCACCTCACATGCCACGCCAGATCCTTAACACATCCACTTGTCATAGAAGGCCTCTACATCGAGATGAACAATGGGTTCCCTCCAGTGTTTAAATACTCTGAAAAGAACCATCTCCATCCTATTTTCACGGCTTAAGCTCCAAGTTTGGAGAGATGAATGGAAAAACCCATGGTTTCCCCTCATCGAAGGCCTAGAACTCTATCGATCCCCGTCGCCAGGATCCCCAACAGGCGCTTCTAGACCTGGCCTCCACGGCGTCCGGCATCCGAGAGGGGTGTGACGGACTGACGGTGAGTTCATTGTTTTCAACACCGCAGCAATACAGGCCGATATTGAATCGGCTAATCTGTATGATATTGATGAAGATAGATGAGCTCTACGGACATGGCGGGTTCTACTTTGCTAAGCCCTTTGATTCTCCACCGGCATCCTCCATGCAGGAACTCCAATAGGGCCTTGGTGCTGGTGGTCGTCCCGGTGGTCATCGTGGTCCTCGTCGTGGTGCTCAACGGCTGGGATCCCGTGGGAGAGAGAGAGAGAGAGACTCTAGAGTTGCTTTGGCAGGCAACCCATGGCAACCCTCTATCAATCTAAGCATGGACATGCACTTCCTGCCTCCTTGGAACTTGAAATCTAGGTAGCACTTTCACATGCTTTCACCATGGATTTTGCAGGCCTTTAAAGGAAATGGCCCCAAGAACAATCTCAAAAGCTCTTCTGTTTGACCACCATTAGTTGGTTTCATTAGACCCCAGGAGTCATACGGCGTGTTGAGCTTCTTCCTGAGGCCTTCTTCAGCTTCTCATCTTTTTGCAAGTTGCCGTGCTCGTGGCATGTGCTTTCACATCTTTCACTCGCTGCAAGTCGTTGATGTGCGTTTCAAGCAGTAACACTGGGGAAGCCGAGACAAGGTCAGTTGGATCATATCTCGATGAATCCAAGGTCAGTGGGGAACGCAACATCTGTCCAAGTGACAAAGGTCGGTGAACGTCCGGCAGTTCCTCCTCCGCGAGTTCAAATGGGCTGTCCCAAATGGGTCCCAAACATGACGGTCCCCGGCGCTTCTTCTCCGTCTTCGCAAGAGACGATGGTCATGCGCGCCTTCTCCGTTCGCCGTGATGCGCCGACACGGCCAGGGGCCACACAAGCCACCCACGGGCGACGGGATGATTGGACGTATGGGTCCGACGGAATGAGTCATTGGGAATTGATGGGAGGGGTGGGATTCAGAGGTTGAACAAACATATCGATTTGCCTGAGCTTCAGGGACAGGGGATGGCTTAGCAGTTGTTTTCGCCTTGAAGATCTTGAAGACACAGAGAAGCAACTGGATGAGTTTGAGTGCCAACCGGACTTCTATCGTGACATGTCATATTACATGAGATGGATCATCTCAGATTGAGGTCAGGTTGGGAGACCTAAGGATCACAAGATCATCCATCCAGAATCTGCAAGCTCATTCCAAGCAAGCGAAGGTCCCATCGGGCATTGGAATACATTCATTTCCCATGAGGTCAGGTTGGTCGAACCTAAGATTCTTAGACTAATACCTTCTTGTTACTAGTAGTAATGCCGTAATGCCAGAAGTTACTAGTAGCTTCTTGCTCAAAGTAGCGATGCCCTTGTTACTAGTAGTCTTTCACTGACGGACTGACGGGAGGTCGAAAGCTGCATCCTTCCATGTATAGCTTTCAGCGAGAGGAGCAGGCACGTCTACACGTCTACATTGGGATCGATGCTCCGCAGTTCTGTTGGCACTTGTCCTGTGAGGTGGATGAAGCTTCCTTGTAGAATTTTAGAAGATGAATCTGTCCAGCGTCAGTGAACGAAGGCTTTTGCTTTGGGTGGTTGTCATTCGAGAGGTGAAGCTTGGAACATCTTGGCATCTTGGAGCCGAACCCCAGCCCAGAGAACCCCAGAGTCCAAATGAGCTTTTCAGGGTGGATTGGATTTGGGCTGGAATGAAATCTTTCGCTCCAAGAGTTGTTTTGGATGTCATTAATCATGTTGATTTTATTTGTGCCAAAGTTATCTTTGTTTAACTATAATCCACCGGTATTGTTGGGATCTTGGCATGTTCACAAGCACGTGGCCCAGCGACAGGAAGCCACAGGCCCAGCGACCTACGTGCAGTTCTGAGAAGGTTCACCAGCGAATCCAGAAGCAGCGTCACACATAAGTCGCATCCCCCATAAGTCGTGGAGAGTGAAAAGGTTTCTCTATGCGACTCTATGCGTCATCGTCGATGTGTTCACCAAAGGAGAAGGAACAACTCAGCTTTCTAAAGAGTCCTTTAAGCCGAATTGATATAAGAAAGGTTGGGACACTACGTCGAAGAGACAAGTCAAGCCAGCCATCAAATGGCACGTTCCGAACGCATGCGGAACGGGACTCCTTGGCTGTGAAGGTCAATCAGGTCTCAATCAGATGGACGGGTCGATGCGAGGAAAAGGTCATCTCGAGCAGGGCAGGTGCTAGTTCTCTTAAATGCTTAATCGTTTATTTTGTTGTTTCTTCTCCATGCTACGAAGGCATGAAGATTCTGTTATGATATAATATATAAGATGCTCACCTATTGCGGAATAAACTACTGTACATATAGAATCTTCTATTGACAGAAATATGTTTTGTGTGTTTCTCTTTTGTATTATAGAAATCAGGCAACTGGCTGGTTTGATTCATCGCTTTGCATCATTTGTCTCGAGCCTCATTGATCTGGAGCGATTTGGTTTCTCTTGTTTGCACGTTCATTCGCTTGTTTGCGAGCACAAGACATGTTTTCTTTGGTTCAGAACTCTTCAGGATTTGGGCATGTTTTTTGACATTTCTTGTCCGACATGTGAGACGGATTTCCGCGGATTTCGCCAGTGGTTCCGGCCCAAGCAGTTGTTTCCTTCGCCCGAAAAGGACGCACCCAAGCCGTGGTCCGCCCTCCAGCCGTCTCATGCCCTTCGGACCCTTTGCGCTCCGCTTCCACAATGCTCGGCACGAGAAGCTGGTCCATCGAGTCATGTGTCGCCCGGAGAACGAACCATCCGATCCGCCCACGTCACCAAAGGGCCGAGGGAAGTAAACAGGGGGAATCGCCGAATGTCAGGACCAGGTGGGTCTTCGAAGAGAAATCCGGACTTTCTGGGAGAGGAATTCGCCGAAAAGGCTGAAACAGAAGCAAACATCCGCTGTGTTTTTTCATGCTTTTGTTTTCCGTATGAAATAACTGCTAAACATATGACATGGGCTTGGTTGACCAACATGGTCCTGTGGTTTGAGGCTTGGCTGGGACTGCCATGGTCCTTGTGGTTCTCCGATTCCTCTTGGCCCTTTGCGTGAATCAAGATGTCATGAAGGATTTCCAAAAGCAGCAGGAGCCAGCAGGACAGGAGATCCTCGACAACACGGCCATGAAAGTTGGAATTCCCATTATTGGTTTGCTGTTTGCATGCGTGATCCCATGCTGTGGCTACTTTGGTGCAAAAAACAACAACAGCACGGCTGTGTGCTTCTTTGCATACTGTAACTGCTGTTTCGGTTTCATTCAGACTCTTGCTGCAATCCTTTGCGTGGTGGGCATCGTTGCGATGTCAGTGCTGAGTGAGCAATGCAAGCCCGGGGTGGCCACAGACCCACAAGTTCAGGAGACATGCGCCAACGTGCTGAACAGCTGCAAGTACATGAAGAGTGATCATTTCGATTTGCAGAACTACGATGGATGTTACGACCATATGAGCGAGCAGTTCTCTTTCGCCATTGGGATTCTCTCAGTGATCTTGGCCATCAACTGCTGCACCTGCTGCTTGGCATGTGCAAGCTGCTGGTGGGGTCGTGAGCTACACACTTCCATGCAGTTCAACGACATTTGCATGGACTCATCCGATGATGACGTGTGAGGGCGGCTGAAGCGGAACGAGCCAGGGCGGCCTTCAACAAATCGAAGATGAACAATAGACGACAAAAAATACATGTAAATACAGAAAATTGTCTACATGTTGCGTCTTGCGTGTGTTGTTTTCACATGTGTTCACCAACATGATCTAGAGAATCGGTGAGAATCGTTCAATGCTTGGGTTATGCCTGGCCACCTTTGATTGGTCATATTTGATGATGTTCTTTGGCCAGTTTGTGCAATACTGGAGGCGACCTCCTCTATTAATAAGACTAGATTAGCTGATGAATCTTGCTTGCCTTGCTCCTGTACAATGGGCTCAGGGGTTGGGAGAGATCAAAGAACCTCACGGAGCATTGGAGCATCAGCGAAAATGGATCGCCAGCAGCTAGCAGCATTCACTGGTGAGATGCTACAGATAGTGCTACAGATATTACATATTAAAACCGCGGGGAGGCATGATCTGGATCCATGCAGCATGCATCCAACAACAGTGCAGATTCAAGTCTGCAGAATTGTGTTTCCATCCCGCCTCATCACGCCGTTTTCAACGCCCACACAAACGCCTCGCCTGGCTATTTGGGGCTCCCAGCGGCTCCCTCTCCGGGTCCGACGACGGCGGCTCCGGGACGCGATGCGCCCGCATGGCGGTTCGTCCATCGTAGCGGCGTCCAACCTCCCAGCGCCCTTGACCAACGGAGAACTGCTGCAGGTCGCCAGCCTGAGCGATGTGCCCGACTCAGAAGCTTTGGCGGCGTGGCTCTCGGAGAGAGGCTTAGACACCTCAGACTGGGGCAAAGAAAATACAAAAGATGTCAGCAAGTACTGGAAGGCTCCTTGGCTGAAGCATGCTGAAGCTATCGGAAGGCTATGATGTTTGAGAATAGTAATTTAATGTCTTATGGAATTCAGAAGCAATCCCTCTTCCTGCCATCCGTTGCCCCAGATTTGGGGTCTTTACATCATGGCCAAGTGATAAGGTTTCTTTTTCTGTCACTTTCGCCGGTCTCAGAGGAGCCCGCGACTGGAATACCAGGACGTCAACCCAAGTCCCCAAGGTCTCCCCACGGCGCATGTCGACCGCAGCGCTCCCAGACGACCATTCCGGCTTTCTAACGAAAGGGTTCTCGGTGAAGGATGGTGATGGTTGTCACAGGTTCGCAGGTGAAAGGGTCCCAACTGTGCATGAAAGAACCCGCTTCTTGTATGGCTTCACAGTGCTTGACTCTCGGTTGGAAACTGGATGCCACCGTTGGTTCCTCCCTTTCTACGCATTGGTCCTCCCGCCTCCCTTTCATCATCCGAGGAGATCAAGCTGAACGAGGCGGGCCTCGAAGTTTGGAAGACAGCCGATGGGACGCTGCAGCCCGTGCGCACCACCCACGTGTTGCGGGCCAAGGTACGGGGCGGGTCTGCTGGGAGCACACCCGAAAAAGCACTGCACCTGCGAGCATCCTTGTTTTAGAGTGGAATGTAGAAATACCTGTCAAAGTGGGTGCTTCGGTGGAAGAATTGATCACTTAGTTTGCTCACTATATCGATCACTAATGAAACCATCAGGACTGTGGAAGATAGTTTAGTCTCTCAGGTGACCTCGCCCGACCGGTATCAGCGTGGCATCTTCCTCTTCAACACCTGGCAGCAGTACGGCGACGGGCGCACGCGCACACGGAACGGTCTGCTGTCCGAGAAGTTGACCATTGATGAAATGCCACTGGAGCAGAATCTTCACGAGGTGCCGAGGGTATATTGGTTTTTGTTTGAAGGACTCGATCTTGCTGTAGATACAATGGGAGGGGTGATCCAGGTGATCCAGAGGAAGGATTAGTGAGCTGCTGAGATGATCATAATCTGAACCTTTAGTCCAGTTGATGAACCAAACATCGCAAAATCATACAAAATCATCAAAGCTGTCCAAGGCACAGATCCCAGATGTCATTTGAGTCCTTGGCACTTTTCAATCCACAATCCCTTTGTTCGTTGGACCGGAACGGTGACCTGTCGTCCGTCCGTGCGTTAAACCTTTCCACCGCAGGTCTGCCGAAGGGCGGTGACGGAGGAAGAGATGCAGCGGGTCGTCGAGTCCACCATGAAGATTGGGCCCGGTCGACCGGCGCCGGAGTTCGACCCCAGCTATCAATGCCCCTTGGAGGTGCCTTGGTCCTGGTGGGTCCCTTGCTCCGGCTTTTTCGTTGCAGCTGTTGAAACGTTGAAACGATTTCAGAGTGTGATGAGTAGTGTGATGTAGGGGGAAGAATCATTTGAGGGGGCCCGGACTTATAAAGATGTCCCTTTCTCCATCGACAGCACGACGAACGTGACGCCCGATGCCCATCACGTCATTCGAGGTGGTCGATGAGCATTTCGTAGATCACATCATCGAGCTGGAGAAGTCCAAAAGTTATCCAGGAGACATTTATAAAACCATCGATCAGACATGGGGCACGGATTAGCATTATTGTTACGGACGTGGTTCAAAGTTGATGATTCATCACACGATGCTGTTTTTCGCATGTTGTTTCCTGTTGCTGCTGCTGGCGCTGTGTTCGCTGCTACTGTTGTTCTCCTCGTCGTTGTTGTCGTTGTCGTCAAGAGGAAGTTCCACTCCGAGGTCGTATCAATGGTTCGAGCGGCTCGTTGTTTTTCCCGACAGGTTCAAGATCCCTTTTCAGCAATCAGTGTTGAAGATGTTTTCCAGGTCTTCGAAACAATGAATTTCTGCACTGAAACAACATTGTAATACAACATATCCGGTAAAGCAATCATGTGCAGCTACTGTTATTTTTACTAAAGTTGTTTTCCTTGTCTTGTGAGACAGTCAAGTTTTCTGTGTGACTTGTACTTAAGCTGAATCAGCTGGTACTTGCAAGTCGCGAGGGGGGTAGGTTGAAGTTTCCTGCCAGGACTTCTCACCATGTATCATTTGTACACTGTCGACATTATTTGCACTGGCTTGCCGTTAACTGACTTGAACACACTTGAGTTTGAACATCCCGACAAGGAGACGGGGGGTCAGCAAACTGCACATGTTCAGCTTTACGTCTTTAATTGTTCAGAGTGTTTTCTAATGTTTTCTAGAAAATAAATAGGCAACGGCAAAGCGTCATTATTTAGCAAGGTGCATGGCAGAGACGTGAACAGGGTAGCCTCAAGGGCATCAGCGATTGCCAAAGCTGTTTGTGCTTGCTTTTTGTAGGACCTAAAGATTGAAAACAGCCCTGTGGAGGATGGCAATCGCAAGCTCAAGTATATTCATGCCTGGGTGTGGCTTGAGCATCTCGCTGCCAATGATGTTTAAGTTTTGTGCTTGGTGTGGTGTGAAGCAATATCATGCCAATAGCATCCGACAGCAAGCATATTTTTTGCGATGGCCCGGCTGCGTTCAGCATGGAGGTGGCCACAGATCCAGCGCTACCTTTTTGAAGGTAGTGTGCTGAAAGAGACCAAAGGTAAAGGCTCCTTGGCTTCAGCTGACATGTGAGTTGGCAGTTTGGGCAAAACGGTCGGTCGTTTGAGAAAGTTGGCACAACAATAGTTGCGTGAAAGGAAACGCGTCGACCACGTGAAACCATGGGTGGCTTATGACATGACCTACCACCTTCAGATGCCCCGGGCCATCATCAAACAACAATTTCTGCAAGGCCGTCATAACAAAGCCCATACAATCATTTTTGTGCAGATTTGTGGGCATTGTTCTCATCTATGATCTATGGGTTGTTTGATGTTGTTTGAATGATGCCAGAGCTCACTAGCGGAGCCCAGAAGCTACTTTCAGGGAGATCCATGCAGGAACCATGGAGGAACCCCCTAGCCCTGGGTTCATCAACACATATTGATGTTCAAACTCTGGAACCATCCCAGGGTCATTCGGAGATGCAGCTGCATTAGCCATGTGGCTGTCGCAGTTCGATCTGCACATGGCATCTCGGCACGGCAGTTTTCGGATGGGAATTCGCTGCACAAACGCAGCATGATCACTTGTACATCTGCAAGAAGCTGGTAGTAGCAACGTGAGAGTCGCAGAACCTTGCCTTGACTTCCAAAGTGGCTCAATCATTCATCACCTTCAACACCCCTTTCCACGGAATTGTCCTTGGACATAGGACACATCTGTTCTGCACATCCGCTCCAGAACGACACATCCTTTGCGAGGACCGATGGGGCAAAGGAACCCTGAAGTCCGTGGAGAGCTTGTTCCGAGAGATCGAGAACGAAGACTCGCAACTGGAGCTCTGGGGCCGTCATGATGGGGTACCCATGCTCCTTGTCCCATTTTTTACGTGGTGCGTCCGAGGGGGCGTGGAGACCACCCAAATGAAGGTTCAGCTCCACATATGTTCCACAAGGAAACAACACAGAATTTGCCATGTTTTGCGTTTTGCATCTTTTTGACAGCCATTTGTTCCAGGTAGCGGTTGGATGGCACCCCATTTTTCAGACAACGCCATGCTGGGTTTGGTGAGCACCGCTGGAAGGCTTCGTAGGTTGGCGCTGACTTGTTCCTCTATCAATGTTTTTGCATCGGCAGTGTGGCGGGCTCACATTGGAAATGGGCAGTCGATGTGCATACTCCCACAAAATTCCACAGCGAGAGACAGAGAGAGAGAGAGAGAGATTACCAAGATACACCTAATAGTTATTTTCAGGTTGAGAAGACAGTACTGTATATATACAACTGAGGGCAGTTCTATGCTTGTGTCACGGAGCTTTTGACAAAGTTCTTGGGGATATGTCGATTCTTGTTCGACCTGTTGTACTGGTTATACATGGTTATACTGGTTATACTATATAATACTGCGTATTATCCATCTCTCCCAATCTCCATCTCTCAATCTGCCGCACCTATCTTGAGCCGAACCAGGCTCATGCGTGTGACGCATGTCCTTCAGCTACGGGTGACTCATTCAGATCCAAGTTTGAAGGGGAAATTCCTCTTCAGTTCTTGGTCGGTCGCTTGGGTCCAAGCGACTTGCGGATGGTTTTTTTTTGGTCTTGCGGTTCGGACTTGGAGGCAGGAGACCGGTGGAATCGAACACAACCCGTCGAGCGAGGAAGTGATGCCACACCAGCTGAAGTGTGCCGTTTGGTGTTGATTGCAAGAGCATGTGCTCTAAACTTTGGTATTGCGGTTTGAATAGCTATATAGGGGTGGAATGCCACCATGTCGTGTGGAACATGCTTGGATGAGCAAATCGTATTTCGATCAAGGCACATCAGATGTCGTTTGAAGCTGCCAAGGAGTCAGCCACTGGCAAGAAGCGTGTAACCCACACGCTGCCAGCCATGAAGCTCACCTTGTGCCTTGTAGGGGAATTGCGGAGTCCAAGCCCTGGTTTCCCTGCATCTCATGTGAGCAGCTTCAAAAACCTCTATGATGAAAAGTATGCAAACTGTAATCTCACATTCTTTCGCGAAAGCCAAAACGCAGGTCGCGAAAGGTTCGCGAAAGCCCCGTGAAAGAACCCCAGAAGAACAGCGTCGCGAAAACTTTCGCGAATGTCGAATTTCTTGTGCATGTCGTGTTGTTTATGTGGGTGACCATATTTTTATAAATGCAGGCAGCCGCAGCAGGCCAGCCAGCCAGCCAGCCAGCCAGCCAGCCAGCCGCAGCAGACCAGCCAGCAGCAGCAGCAGCAGCACTGAAGAGCAAGTGTTTCAGGGGAAAATCGAAAAGCCCAGACGAATTTCCGCGAAAGCCGCGCGAAAGCCTCGCGAAAGAACCGCGAAAGTTGTATCCGGGAAAGGTATCTGGCCCCAGCAAAAAGTTTCAGCAAATTTTCCTCCTCTTCTGATGACAGCAATAATAATTGAACGGTGCTGCTACAACTCCTTGTGCCAGGATGTTGCATGATGTTGCCGGAAAAATTGTTGTTTAATTTTGACCACCCTAAGGACACTTATATCGGATAACTTATATAGATCAATCACTTTATTGCACAATATCCCAATCGAATTTCCCAATCGAAAACGAATCGCCGCGAAAGCCGCGGCGAAAGCCCCACATAACACCACACCTTCCGCGAAAGCCAGAATGCAGACCGCGAAAGCTCCGCGAAAGCTCTGCGAAAGCAAACCTGGATTATACAAAAAAGTAATAGAGGTTTTCGAAGCTGCTCATGTGGGTCAAAATTAGCTTGCAGTACTGCAGAACCACTGAAATTTGATGTGGACACCTGTGATTCAGCGTTGTGGCAACTGGTTCAAACATATTTATTGTACAGGCCACTTGAGAGTTACTGACCCACAATAAGAGGCAGATACCTCCAGCTCCGTCAATCTGTTTCTGCATCAAGGAAATACACACCTCTGGAACATGTAGACTGTAGACTATCAGAGGTGAGTCATATGCATGACAGAGGTGGGTACAAAATCCATCCACTTCTTAGACAGATTTGCGGAAAGTGCCATATGACTATCCACTTCTTAGACAGATTCTCATATTGGCTGTGGGACAAAATCAGGAGACCGACCTTTTGACCTACCTGGTGGAATGCTCCTTCGCTCCAAGGTGGAGCTTTCTCGTTCGCGAACATGGTGGGTGACCCATCCCATCCCACCCCATCCCCATTTGTTGTCCCCTCTTTGTGGTTATCCCCATTTGTTATCCCATCCTCATTTCGCACTTTACGCCATCGCCGATCCCAGGAAAGACATGCCGTACGACCTGGAGAAGTTCACCACCTGCGCCGGCGCCTTGGTCGCGGACCAGCTGAGCCACGTGGTCGACGTCCACTACCGGAACCTGGGCTTCCAAAGTGCTCAACGGGAGGGCGGAGGGGAGTGATGGGAGATGGGTGTTTTTGTGGATTGGAGCTATTGGTGATGAGTGATGTGCCAAGGTGATGTGACAGGGTTTGGAGTTGTGTCCGACGGAGTAGTTTGGGGTCATTGTCAAAGACATGGAGCCTCTCCAAATGTCTTATATAGATATGTTACATGCATGTCTCATGTATATATATATATATACACAGTGTATATATATACATATAGAACAGTGTTCAGCTTCGTTCGGGGTGTGATGTTATTCAGTGGGGAATGCTGATTTTCTGCTGTGGCAATTAGTGTTCTACTGGTGCTTGAGTCTGCCTGTTTTTGTGTGGTTGTTGATGTTTTTTGTATATTTGGTTCGAGAAGGATGGCTTTGAAGCAGTTGGCCTGTTTGGCACCTGCACTCCAAGATGTTTTCAGAAAGCAAGATGGAGCCTGACGGGCGTAACAGAAGTTTTGATATCCTTGAACAAGAATCATAGATCATCCATCAATGCTCCTTTGTCAAGTGGTCCAAGCAGACGTGGAGCCATCCAAACCAAAGAGCTTGACTATGTATGTACTCGAAAAATCAATCTGTGTTGGAGTTGACGCTGTAATCTCACCAATACGTCAGAGGCAAAAGCAGGCCGTTGGATTGGAGTTTGGGGTATTGAAACGTGTAAAGCGATTTAATGCTTCACGGCAAGAGAGACCTCTTGTGCTCCCGAGGTTTACAGCCGACACGCCTCCAGTCTGCATGTGTTCGAAGACAAAGTCGGCTGCAGGCTGCGCCACAGATGAGAGAAGACATCTTTACATGATCGGATATGACATCAGCTTTGCAAGACCCGACTGAAAGCCAAGACATGCCACGACTGTTGGAGCCAACCCCCCCAAGAAAGACCTGTCCAGAAGCCATCACTATTCACTATTGTCAGAGGGGTCTCTTATTGCACTATTGCTGGGTGGGAAAACCGAACAATTAAGAAGACAAGAATAGTCACAGTCATAGTACTCTCCGTCTCAGTTGATGCACGGTTTTTTTTGAGACAGACGATTCTCATGCCGAAGTCACTGTTTAAACAGGGCCGCTACCAAAGAGGCTTTAACCCAGATGCTTGGTGTATCGACACCAGTGTCTAGCTATGTTTGGCTCGTCTTCGTGTTCTGCTTTGATCCACTGGCGGTCGAGCTAGGCTTCCACCTACCCCACGGTTTGCAAAGAAGCAGGTGACCCTCATTTGATGAAGATTCATACAGTAACACCGCTTCAAGAGTTGTGCTCGATGCCTGCCTGCTAAGTTCCTTGAGCGATTCCGAGCCCTCTGGTGTGCAAATGCAAGAAGTTCGAAGCTTGACTGAATCCGTGTCAGTTCTTCGACTTGGGAGTTTCTTCAGTTCGAGACGTTGACCTCTGAAAGGCGCCTGACGTGGATGATAGGACGTCTCCCAAATGTCAAGAATCTTACGCTGACATCAGTCACCCCCCAATGCTATTGAATGCAGGCTCAGCTTGTTGAATTGGCCATGTTTTCTAGCAACAACCAAAGCAGTGTCAGTCTAATGAGTTTATTGGATGGCTGCTAGCTTCTCCAAAGCACTTGATCAGAGCCGCGTCTTTGAGCGATTCATCAAAGTAGAACGACAGTCAGAATAGAAAAGCACAAAGTCTTTCACCTGTTTGAATGAGATCTCTCAAAGCTTGCTTAAATTGGCTTACAGAACTGCAGATCAGAAAATAACACAATCGTCACAATTGTTGCTGTCGAAGAGCACCAATTGATTAAGTGGAATCAGAGTGTTGATGCTGTCAAATCAGACTGGTGATTTCCATCCTGACCGGCTATTCGCTTCATGGGCCCATCCCTGGCCCTGCTTCGTCGCCAGAATTTGTTGAACAACGTCATGACGTGGAGGAATCGCCCTCCTATAGGCCAGACACCGAGTTTCTGAACGAACCTCGTACCGCGGCACCGGGCACGCTCACCTACCGTGCTGCCAGCGGCACGGGAAGACGTGACGGGAAGACGTGACGCCTGCGTCCTATTCGACCGGCCGGGGCGGTGGCCGGTGGTGGCACATCCGAAGTCAAGATGTGAACGTTGTCCACGAAAAGACACGAAGTCCAAGTTCCACCGCATGAGACTTGACCTTTTTGTGCTTGGAGTTTGCCTTAAAAGAAAAACATAAGAAACTGCAGAGAACTTTTGACAGGGGTCTCTTCACCATGTACCACCTCTACTGCATGGAAGCTGAATGCACAGGCGTTGGGACATTGGGATTTGGAATCAAGTTGGAGATGACTTTGCTGCAGTGCTTTGCTGAATGTTGCCATTGCTGTCCATACTGAACCCTTGATACAAATTGTTGCATGGCTTCCTCAGCATCAAACAGCATTTGCAAGGGGGGGATGTGTGGCTTGCGTGTTTTAGGGGTGCATTGTGCTGAGTATCCATAGGTCTGTCAGCACCTATAACAAATTCTGTGTAGTACTTTAATACTATCAGTTCTATGCACATGCGACACATGCATCCCGAGCAACGCACAGGTTTGCCAATCAGCGACTTCGGCTCCATGGATTTGAAGGACAGACCGGGACCAGCAGCTGGGCTGCCGGAGAGGAGCAGAAACCATTGAGACACGCTTGACCGTAGGGTAGGGTAGCAATTCTGGTCGAAACAGTGGATGAATTGTTGAGTTGAGTTGATGTAAAATACTTTCTCGTAGTAGAAGATGTGTGAGGCACTGGTTTCTACACTTGGTGTATGATGCCTGACAACTTATGGCACGGAACTCTTAGGGTGTGATGATTCCAACTTCGAGCATGGCAATTTGACCTTGCCACGCAGGATGGGGCTATTCACAGTTTAAAGGGTTGGACTTGGTCCTCAGCTCAACGAGTCATGGAGTCTTTGGCGAGACTGGCACCGGCAGAGAAGCGAAGGAAGGTTCGAACGTTTGGGTAAAAAGAAATAAGCACTTTGTATTGTAGTGGAACAGATGACGAGAAAGGTCTAATGAGTCTAATGTGTATTGTCATGCGGACTTCAATCATGTGGTAAGAATGGCTTGGCTTCGTATGGTTTAGTACCTTTCAGATGTCATAATATTAATAATAGGGTCGGCCGAGTACATTATCGCAAGTGGAGTTTCACAAGTGAGTCTGACTCTAAAAAGGGAAGATCAAGAATCCGCAAAGTTGATTTACCTCTCGGTGGGCTCGTGAAAGCTGATGTCGGCTCGCGTCGCTCGCGTTTTCACTCCTGTTCTTTGCTTTCACCGTTTGGGTGCTTTTCTTTGAAAACATGGCATGAAGAAGTGACCTCTTGCTGTACCATAATATGGCCAGGACATGCCAGGACCTGATTTCTGATTTCTATTGGGAAGCTGTAGAGTGGCCGCAATCATGCGCGCCAATACATCCGTTGTCATCACCAAATAGCAGTAAGTAACTAGTAGGAACTCTGGTCAGAAGAATTGCAATCCTTCGATCCTGATTTTGGAAGACAAACGTCGAACTTTGGCGTGTTGGCGTCTAAGGATATCATGAGACATCGTTCCCTGGTGCTGGAAAGAGAACAGGCTCAAAGTTAAAGGGGAACTTCCTCGTGCTGTGGTAATCCAGAACATTTGTGATGAAAGGCTGACATCATCTATAATCTTCAGCATGGCTAGGCTATAGACCAAGGGGCCTCCCTGCTTGTGTGTATACCTAAAGAGGCTTGGAGCTTTGGACGTGTGCTTTCGACGGATTCCCCTGTGGGAACCATTGCCTCATCGACATCCGTAGTCAAAGCTCACAAGGAACCTCATTAGGCTTGTCATTCCCAAAATGCGTCTCCGCAGGGCCAAGCGATCATGATTTGGCAAAAGATGAGTCAAGAGAGCTTGGATGTTGCTGGGAGGCCGGCCGGAGTCATCTCAGCTCCGTGAGGGATTACGGGCTTTGCCGCGCGTCAGAAGAATGCAGATTAGGATCAACAGGCTGTTGGCCATAGGCCGCCTATTTGGATTCCAAGGCAGTTTGTATCGAGAACCTGGCCGCTACCAGGCCACCTCCGTATTTCACCTCGACCCAACGCTGAGACCCAACTCGACGATCTGCTATGGGAGGCTGGATGACTTGCTCCGGAAGCTTGCAGAGACCTATCCCGAGTGTCACAGCTCCATCGCCGAGAGCAGAGACGTGCTGAATCTTGGCAAGAGATCGGGAACAGAGAGGAGGTTTTCACCAGGTGGAGGAACCAGGTGGAGAACTTCTGCATGAAATGATAAAGATCAGCAGGAGCGCCTTCCCAGAAATGGAATCGAAGGTGGGTGTAACATGTTGAAGAACATGGTTGGTTGACAGGGTCTTCCATGCCAGCTACAAAAGTAAGACGAACTAAGATGCTGTTGGGACTTGCTGTGAAATGGAAGGGAGATCTCACGCAGAATTTTGCTTGATCACTTGATCCCTACACTCAGCAGTGGAGGGGTGCACGGTCAGTGGGGGACTGATGGTTGCTGAGATATACAAAGGAAGTTACAAAGGAGCTTTGATGGATGGTGCCTTAGGTTGTTTGGGACCAAATTCCTCACCGCACCACACAGCAATTGCAGAAATCCGAGACGAGAACTCGTTCACGGCATTCTGTGAGTTCCTTGGAAAAAAAACAGATACCAAACATAGCTCATTGACTCGAGATCCACCGCGGACACCGATGAGTTGGACACCGGGGATCCAACAGATGGTGTGGCCCAAGCCATTGTTTTGCCCAAGCCTCAGGAGTGACGTACTCCAAGTCCACAGCCAATTGCTTTTGTGGCATAACATACCTGGACACTCCGTTTGGATGAGCTGTGGTAGAATTGGTCCATCAGCAGTTTCCACAGCTCCGGAAGACCTCAGGAGCTTGCTTGAGAACAAGCTGATGGATGCCTCAGCTGCTTGGCTCATGCAACTATAGTGGCAATATGTGGCAATACAATGCAGCGATACGTGTCAACATGATTCAACATGTTCATCTTAGTTTCTGCAATGTCAAACATGTGATACTTGGATTGAAGGAATCCGAGACTTGGTGCTAGATTGGCCCTCCTTCGTTTGTTCTCCCACCACCGGTCTAGAGAGCCTGGTTGATCGGAAGCCCTTGTAGCAGATGGCCCGAAAGCTCCGCTCCGATGTGCCACAACTCCCCAAGTCTCTACTAGTAGCAGTAGCAAATAGCTACTAGTAGCTTCTTGCTGTGACTAGTAGTAATGCCAGGAGCTACTAGTCGAGATGTTACTAGTAGCGATGCCTTTTGTTACTAGTAGCTTCTAGTTGCCCAAAATGATTTCTCAGACGCCTCCAGCGGTCCAGCTTTTTGAGCTACTGCGCATAGCTTGGGTGAGTGGTTTTTCCCCAAGCACGAGCATGCTTCTTTTCGACGTGTTGTGCCAACAGCTTCAAGAAGACCCTTCTTAAACTATGGGCGAACGGCTGTATGTTGGACAACTCCCGTGGTGAACACCCTGGGGCGGGGTGCTCGCCACGATGGCGGGTGGAAGTTTCCCAGGGTCTTCCATCATGGAACCATTGTAGTGGGGTCTGCACTTCTGGCGGTTTGCAGCCTCAACATGCAGAAGTCCGGAAGCACCTGAGTTCTGGGGATCGATACTTGGCCACCAGCTGATCAATCCAAAGGGATCCAAAGGGTCATTTTAAAGAAAAGGACATCAACTGTCACCCTTCTCAGCCGTCAGTGGGTCCAGGCGAAAGTCATGATGACCCAATCATGGGTCCAGTCGTGGTCCAGATGTCGAGGGAAAGACTATGAAATCAGGTCACCCGAACAGTTCACCATAAGTCGTGGGTGAACTGTTCAATTCGCCCAGCCGCCCGGCTTGACTGTCCCCACGAACCCGAGGGCCTGGACTCCGCCGATCAGAGCCCCAGTGGCCGGCGCCGTCAGAGCCCGGTGGCTCAGAGGTCGACTTGCGTCGCCTCAGAGGTCGCTCCGAGGTCGTCGCTCCGAGACAACACCGCGAAAGGAGAGCAGAAAGGACCGACCGATTGAATCGGAAGGACCGAATGAGAGTGGGAGAGCAGTGGAAAGGGACGATGTGATAAACTCTGTCTCAGATTGCGGAGTTGCTGCTTTGCCGAATAGATGATGCATTTGGGATGCGATTGTGGAGGTGACCAAGAGAAGGGAACATGCAACGGACATGAGGGGATGTTAAGACAGCTTTGACACTTTAACCTTCAATCAATTGTTTGCTGGTCGAACCAGTGTGACCTGATGGCCAGTGATGCTTCAGAAGAACATCCTCCACGTTTCCCGTTTCCAGAGATTCCCGCTGAGGCTTTGCAGAGACGCTGCCACCTTCGATGTTGGCGGCCATGGAGATGTGACCCGTCAGAGAGAGAGAGAGAGAGAGAGAGACTGTAGATGTCCGCACCCTGACTCACTAGATGGAAGTGGAAAGACCCCTCTTGGTCGAGGACAGTAAATAGTCTTCCAAGGGACCATTGTCCACTTCCACTTCCACTTCCATGTCAATGTAGAGAGCGAGATGGAGATAGGCTGTAGAATAGCTACAGGTGATGTTTTGAAAGGGTTTGGTAATGTCCACTGCGGCTAAGCGATGGGTTCTTTTTAGGCTGCAAATGCTTCACCCGTACAGAAGAATACCTAAACTTTAAATGAGGATTGCGAGAATGATAGATTAACTTTTAGACATCATGGCCAATCATGAACAGACCCCTGGGACTAGTGTGGGAAGGAAAATTGGACGGAGTCACTTGGAGCGAGTCGACTTAGCATCAGATGCCGCAAGAATAATATCAGATGACTTTCCTGCGAAGTGCTTGGCCAACACGACTTGTTGTAGGTCAAGCATCGCCTCTGACAAATTCTTGGAAGAGACGCAGTGGAAACAGATCCAGTTCGAGGCGCGGTCGCCTGTCCTTTGCATGCATGGCCACCTTCTTGGGGGATGAAGGAAATCACCCAAACATCGCGCGTGAGGCCGATCGTGCCAAGACAAAGGACTGCAGCGGGGGTCAGAGCTGAGCGCCAGCGCCATCCCTCAGTGGGATGAAAAGGATGACCAGGCCCCTCTGACAGGTATCAGCGCAAGGTCTTCTTAGATTATGTAGAAAGTTAAGGGATTGGTTTTCAAGTGAGAGAGATATTTCTGGCTAGCGCTAGTCACTTGGGATAGGTTGGTCGTGATTTCTCGAAACCTTCAAACTGGTCACTGGTCGCAGCGCTGAGCGGCTCCGACCTCCCGACAATCAATGTTTCACGCCCAAAAGAATCAAGATGTTGGATGTTGCGTTGATGAAGCAAAGATCCGTATGAAGCAAATTACGGTGTTGATGGATCCGTGTGTTTGGATTTTTTCCAAGAGCGAAGAAATGCCTTGTGCCTAGCACAGCTGGAATCTGCCAAAGGAGGTGTTGCCAGTGTTACAAGCAAAAACGAGCCCCTTCACAGCCCTTCGCATACATATGATGTTTTCAGGATGGGTCTTACCCCATTCAACAATACCCTCCAGGCACCGCAGTTGTCAGCCGCAAACGGCTGATGTGCGGCACTTCGCAATAGAGTGTGTGGTTCTCTCTGTATAAGCAGGATGTCCAAAAAGCTGGTGCGTGGTTTAGATGTGCATCTTGACCTCACAACTCAATTTTGTATGATTGTTGCTGTCCTGCGTGAGGGTTCTGGGAATGCTTTTGAAACCTGTCGTTCTGTCAGGGTCTATGCCTTATGGCAGTAGAGCATACAAAAGTGAGAACCAGGTGTGATTCTACCACAGGTACAGATGAGAAACCTCGATGGACACTCAGAGGGTGAACTGAAACATGACACGGCTGAAAGAGCATGTTGTCTTGTGATGTTTTCTGGGATCATTCCAGAAGTCCACATGTATTCAAGGGAATTCGTGCCCAGAATCCTGCAGAACCTGTGATTCAAAACGAACTTCCATGGCCACACTCGGTGCCATGTTGCATATTTTGTGCAATGGCCACTGTCACGTTGCAGCTTGGGCAGTAGGGAGACTCGGAGGATGAGTTCGGGCATTTCAAATTCTCCATCTGCTCTCATTTCAACAGAATTGGGACATGTTGACATACTGCTGTGGATGGAGAACAATCCAACTTGGGGTCGCTTGGGGACTAGAGAAGTAGGTTCAAAATTCCTAACATTCCTCCAGGTCTAGAAAATCAGTCAAAGGTTTCTTCAGATCTCCTGGCAAGTTCTGTCAGTGAAAATGGATATGGGTATACCCAGGGATGCAACGCCAAATGCATCCGAACCGTTGCGCCGTTCTGCAGATGGATGTGATGACCCCGACAAGGAACACCGTTCAGGCCAATAATTCGTATATCCGAAAACTGAACGAACACACGAAAACATCGGTTTTGGTCATATTGTTTTCTCATCTGACCAAACTACTCTCATCAAGGGCATCATTCTAGCTCTGCAAAGTACCAACTGGACCCACTTGGGGAAGCATGCAGGTCGACTTGGCTGTTTCACCGTGTTTCCCCGAAGCACTGATGACCAGGTGAATCCATTGGCAAGCCCTTCTTCCGGGAAGCCTAGCCAAAGACTGCAGGCCAATGTGAGCGTTTGTGGGCTATGCGGGGCAATGACCGGTGAACATAGGAGCACTCCAGGGAGGATGGGTCAGAATGAGTGTTGTTCTTTATCTCTACACATGTCCAACGAGGATGTACCATTTCAATCCAGTTCATGATATGTTGGGTGGCACTTTGGCACTCAAGACATGTCAAGGCCAAACTGTTCTGCGTTGAGGGAGAGACGACCGGACGTTCGTCCAGATCTTTGAAAGAACAAATGTTTGGGCCTCGAGGTCAAGGTATTGGTGATGTATTGGGTCCATTTGGCTAAGACCCAGGTGTTTGGGGTAAGCAGGGAAAGGCAACTGACCTTGGGGCCGAGTTTTGCAGGATCTTCACATGCGACAGGGTTCATTTGTAGCACTCGCTATTCTACATACTGTCTTCTACTTGGTGTATCTTGGTGTTTTGCCTAGTTCTTTCATGTTCTTTCCTTTGTACCAATCCTCGTGGTGGGGCATCCTCATGTTGAGACAAAGCCACACACACACAACCCGCTGGCCAAGTCTGGCTCTTCATAATCTCCTGCATGAAGTCTCGACGCCATGGTTCTCAAAGCAAAGGGACTTCGTGGACTTTTGCTTGCTTGGAACCTGTTTGTTGGGCAGGCTCGGGTGCAATCTTGTGGGGTTCCACAGGTTCCTACAACATTAGCCATTATTGCTGTTTTGAAGTGTGACTTTAGATAACTTTGGAATTCTTTGTTTTGGATATTATTACTATTATGCATTTTTTGTCTGACTGTATTATATACGTATCATGAAAGCCTGGCTTTTCACATTCGCACTTGTAGATGTTCAGTGGGGTGTCTTATTCCATCAAGGCCAAGCTATGGGACAAGATCGAGACTGAATCCGCACCACCGGGACGTAGCCTGGCGGAATTGAGGTGATGAGCCGAAGGGTATTTTTATGCTTTTGCTGGGTTGAAGTTGGGAGCGTCAAAGATAGGGCTGCAACCAGACCGCAGTTTTGGGGGTGATGGGTATTGTCCAGGTTCCGCGACGAACGACCTTGGGGGATTTGATGCCCCTTTGTGTCCAACTAGGGTTCAGTGTCCATTTGGTCTCCCATGATCAAGCACCGAATTTGGAACATCTTCTTTACCCGATTTTGGGAGCTACTCACTGAGCTACTCAGACCTGCCATGAGCTACCACTGGAGTTCGGAAAAAATGAGGGTGTGTCTTGAATTGGGGAGTCTCCCCAAAGACAAGAGCAAATATAGACTCAGACCCTACACACCCAAATGGAGACCATTTTCAGTGACCGCGGCCAAGGATTTTTGCATTCAATGGTCCTTCATGCACGGCGCATATGGATCTTTGGTGGGGCGGCGGGAAGCGGCAAGGGCCCCAACGACGGGCCCTTCAATGATTTGCTGCTAGACTTGGAAACCAATCCCAGACACTCCATGTATCGAATATCTACCTACATTGACCCCTCTTTGATAATCCAATAGGCAAATATGAATGTCACACACGGAGTCGCAGAGTGTTTCCGATATGATTTCTGCTCGTTCCTCTTGAGACGCAGAGAGGGCTTGTCAATCTGATGGTGCTGGAGTGCATTGGATGTGTTGGTTATATAGCTTACAACTTATAAGGGTGGTGGTCACACCAACGCCAGGAATAATGTTGGATCTTGATTAGTAAAAGGGACCCCCCCTCTCAAACAAATGCGGGAGCCTCTATAAAAAATCTACCACCAAAACAAATCTGGGTTCCTAGGAGGATTCCTTTTGTAATTGATTGTAGTATTCATTTTCCTTTCTCTCTTTGTAGTAGTTGTTGTTGTAGTAGTAGTTGTTGTTGTTGTTGTTGTAGTTGTAGTAGTGGTAGTGGTAGTAGCAGTAGGAGTAGCAGTAGGAGTAGCAGTAGCAGTAGCAGTAGGAGTAGTAGTAGTAGTAGTAACAATAGTAGTTGTAGTAGTAGTAGTAGTAGTAGTAGTAGTAGTAGTAGTAGTAGTAGTTTGTTGTAGTAGTTTGTTGTAGTAGTTTGTTGTAGTAGTTTGTTGTAGTAGTTTGTTGTAGTAGTTTGTAGTAGTAGTAGTTTGTAGTAGTAGTAGTAGTATGTAGTAGCAGTTTGTAGTAGTAGTTTGTAGTAGTAGTTTGTAGTAGTAGTTTGTAGTAGTA